AGCATTCCCATAGTTGCTACAGCAGTACCAAACAACCCCCCAGTTGGGTTTCCAGCCTCGTCTGTCAATCCCGAAGTGCGACCAAGCCAGAAAGCAGAAACGATAGCCAAGCTTATGACAAGGACAGGTAGAGCTGTGGATTCCAGACCTAAACTAATACCCGCAATTATGTTCGTTCCATGACCAGTGGAGCTAGCGAGGGCTAAGGTACGCACAGGCTCGTATTTGTAGTCAGTGTAGTACTTTGATATCCAAACAAAGGCATAAGCAGTTACAATTCCAACCAGACCGCATAAAGCAAAATTCAACCAAGCAGAAGGTGCCTGTTCAGTGTAAAGTAACCACCGTGTGGACTGCAAATGCAATGAAAACTATTAGCAGAGAAAACAGACACAGAAAGTCATATAACTAATAGGAGAATAAATGGTGGATAATGTTCCAAGGAAAATAAAACTTTACCAAACCAAATGTCAGAACAGCTAACAATATTGTCACTGAGTACCCTTTTTCAAGAGTTTTCATGGGGTCCTCTACAGTGCCAATTACTCCAGATTCCCTTTTGTTCCGGATAGAGAATATGCCAACAGATGATACAACCAGGTCGAAAGAATGAACAACTAGAGGAAACAGAATAAAGCCAGATGGATCTGCAGAAGAAATCAACATATATTAGATAAAACAGAAAACTGCAAGGAAACAGCAGATCACATAGGAGGCATCACATATAATGAGATCATTTCTAGGAACAGAAGTATTCAGCTACATCAAGAGGAAATATAGTCATCAATCATTTTATATACATATATTTCTACTAGTCGTTCCTGAAGCTCACAAAAGCTCAAGAGGGCACTTCATGTCGCTTAAGCTGCGCTTCGATGTAGGCAAGGCACTAAGGGCAGGCATCTCATTGTTCATGAGTTCTATCTTGAATCAAGCAGTACTAACAATAAATATAATTGGCAAAGAGATGCAGTAATTGTTGAGGAAAACATTAAGAATGAGTTTGTTACTTTTTCCTGCATTACAGATACATTTTAATTTTTTTTTCTTCATAATGCTTTTTTTTACTAAAGCCCATACTTTAACTGCACTTTGTGCTTAAAGCCCCAGTAGATATGGAGCGTTTTAAAGCTTTTCGCCTTTGAAACACTGCTAGTGAAACAAACATATAACAAGCATAACTAAGAATCAGGTTCTGGGTGAAGTTCTCTACTTTTTGTACACAAGTTGTATGCGGAGATTTTTCCTACCACGTCAATAAATCACCATCGAAAAAATTCTAAAAATAAGCCTTTACGGGTGGGAAACTGTTATGGATGCATTTGTTGGCAGACAATTTACTAGACGCAAGAATTAATAGGATAGATAATGATTGATATTTTCTGAATTATTTTGTCAGCTTTCAATAAAACTTCTCTAAGTGATTTAGGTCTTTTAGTTAAGACTCTTTTCTGAGTTAGGATTCTTGCTATTTCTTATTTGTTAGGATTCTTGCTTTGTAACCTCTATTTAAGAGAGTTGACGCTTATGAATAAAAGTAGGTTGAATTTCTTCAAGTCACAGAGATTTGAAACTTTTCTCAAACAAGTTCCCAGGTGTGCAATTCCCTGATTGAATTGCAAATCCGGCAATCATAGGCAAGTCTAGGAACAAGAACAAGGGCTTAGACCTTCGTGTTGGGCCTGACTTTCCTGTTAATCGTCCAGCGACTCGAGCCAAAATTAGGGACCATAACAATTTGGTATCAGAGCTTGTCACGATGGACGAAAAATCTGTAGAAGCAAAGTTGCGAAATCTTTTCCGGGAAGCCCAAGCTGAAGCAAAAGTAGCAGCTTCAGAAGCGAGGACAGACGCCAAATTCCAGCAACTATCGCAATAGATTGAAGCCTTAATCCGCACCGCGACGTGTATGAAGGGAGTTGAAGTTGGAGATAATAGTGTTGCTGCTGCCCATCGAACCAGTAATGCAGGTGAACATTCAGATCTTCATCTAGGGAGAAGAAACAACATCAATTCTGGTATTGATGACAGCATCGGAGGAAGAGGTATAGTACCCAGATACACTAAATTAGACTTTCCTACTTATGATGGAACTGAAGATCTTATTTGGCTTCACCGTTGTGAGAAATTCTTTGCTAACCAGCGTACTGCCAATCAAGAAAAAGTAGGGTTAGCTTCTTTTCACATGGTTGGGGAGGCCCAATTATGGGTTTATCAACTAGAACTAGAGGAACCCAATTTGACTTGAGGTGTGTTCAAAGAATATTGTACCCTTCGGTTTGGCCCACAATGAAAAGTAACCCATTAGGAGAGTTGATCAACTTGAAACAAACTAGTTATGTGAAAGAATATCAGAGAAACTTCCAAAACCGGTTGGCTCGTGCTTCATCTGTGCGTATAGACCAACAAGTTGATATGTTTACAGCAGGGTTAGTTGATTCAATTCGTCTTGATGTTGAAATGCATAATCCATATAACTTAGTGCAAGCAATGAGTCTGGCAAGAGCATTTGAGAAGAAAATACAGATTTCTTCTGCAACACAAAGGGGCAATGGTTCAACCTCAAACGGCAGTGTTAAAGTTGCCGGTACAGCAATGACCCCAACTGCTAAGACTACTGCTTCTTCTTATCCTTTTGTGAAAAGGTTGACTCGCACCGAGATGGCTGCCCGGCGTGCAAAAGGATTGTGCTACAACTGCGATGATCCTTATGTTGCAGGCGATCAATGCAAAAAGTTATTTTGGCTGGAAATAGAGGATGGAGAATCTGAGGATATAACAACGGAAAACAAAGAGCCTGCCATCTTACTGCATGCTATCACAAGCAAACAACATGCAAATACTATGCAATTGCAAGTTGTAGTTGATATGAAGTTGTTGCTTAGCTTAGTGGATTCAGGCAGCACACACAATTTTATTAGCTCTACTGCTACCCAGCGTTTAGGCTTGCCTATCCATCATCAGGCAAATCTCAATTTATCAGTAGANCCATCATCAGGCAAATCTCAATGTATCAGTGGAAAATGGCGAGAAAATCTCCAGTTTGGGCATTTGCAAGGGAGTGCAATTTTCTGTAATTACCCATTCTTTCATTGCTGATTTTTATGTGATTCCTTTGGATGGTTTTGATATTGTCCTAGGTGTCAAGTGGCTGCAAACACTCGGGCCTATCTTGTGGGATTTTACATCATTGACAATGATCTTTGAAGTAAATGGAAGGCAGATCACCTTACAGGGACAGCAACAACTATTCCAGCCGCACCTACATCTTTCGATGGAGTCCAAGCAAGGTGACCTCGAGAAGATATTGGCCGAATTTGATGACATATTCCAAGAACCTACAGATCTGCCTCTTATGCGGTCCTGTGACCATCGCATTTGTTTACTACCAGGAACTGATCCGGTGGTAGTTCGACCCTATCGCTACCCTCACTTCCAGAAAGATGAGATTGAGAAACAGTGTGATCAAATGCTTCATCAAGGTATCATCCGACCCAGTCGTTCTCCATTCTCATCACCTGTACTGCTAGTTCGGAAACATGATGGAACATGGCGCTTTTGCGTGAACTATAGGGAGCTTAATTGCGTGAACATGGCGCTTTTGCGTGCAAAACAATAAAAGACAAATTCCCTATTCCAGTAGTGGATGAATTACTTGAAGAATTGCACGGAGCACAATTTTCACCAAGCTTGATCTTCGCTCTGGTTACCATCAAGTCCGCATGGACTCTATGGATGTTGAGAAAACGGCTTTCAGAACGCACCATGGCCATTTTGAGTTCCTTGTCATGCCATTTGGATTGACCAATGCTCCCTCTACCTTTCAAGCACTGATGAATGAGGTATTCCGGAAATACCTACGTCAATTTGTACTTTTGTATTTTTTGATGACATCCTTGTGTATAGCAAGACTTGGAAGGATCATTTGTCGCACATGCGAATCATCTTTGAGTTGATGCAAGCTCATCGCCTTTGTTTAAAAAAATCCAAATGTTCGTTTGGCGAAAAACAAGTAGCTTATCTGGGCCACATAGTTTCAAACACATGTGTTTTAGCTGATGCCAACAAGATCAAGCCGTGGTGGACTGGCCTCAACCGGAATCAACAACAGCGTTGCGTGGATTCTTAGGCTTGGCAGGATATTACCGTAAATTCATCCAGAATTTTGGTCTAATTGCTGCTCCCTTAACAAGTATGCTTAAGCGACTTTCTTTCAAGTGGAATGATGATGCACTTGCTTCTTTTGAAGCTCTTAAAAAGGCATTAGTTGTTGCCCCAGTATTACAGTTGCCAAATTTTGAAGAAGAATTTGTTGTTGAGTGTGATGCGTCAGGTGATGGAATAGGAGCAGTTCTTCAACAGCAGGGACATCCAATTGTTTTTTTTAGTCGTAAACTAGCTGATCGAAACCTAAAACTTCCGGCTTATGAACGTGAATTGATTGGCTTGACAAAGGCAGTTCAACATTGGAGACCTTATCTTTTGGGTCGAGCATTTCTAATTCGAACTGATCATTACAGTCTTAAATACTTGTTAGATCAGCGTCTTACTACTTCTCCTCAACAACATTGGCTTAGCAAGTTGATTGGTATGATTTTCGAGTGGAATACAAGGTCGAGCGCTTGAATACTGTTGCAGATGCATTGTCACGACGAGAAGGAACTGAAGATATGTTATTTGCTATTTCCCAGCCTCAGGTTTTGATATTTGATGAAGTCCGGGCAGAAGTCGAGCAGTCACCAATACTTCAAGAACTTCAAGCTAAAATTGAACAGGGAGAGATGGATGTGGATTGGGTATTTCGAGATGGATTGTTGTTCTTTAGAGACAAGGTTTATCTCTTGCCAAATTCACCATTGGTAGCTTCTGTCTTGTCTAGGTTTCATGATAGCACACATGAAGGTGTTCAGAAGACCATGCAACGTATTCGCAAGGATTTTTATTGGCCAACTATGAAGACAGCTATCAAGGATTATATTGCTGCTTGTTCAGTTTGCCAATGTAATAAGGCTGTTAACTTGAGTCCAGCAGGACTGTTACAACCTTTACAACTACCTAATCAAATCTGGTCGGATATCTCCATGGATTTTATTGCTGGGCTGCCAAAATCATTAGGTAAAACAGTGTTATTGGTGGTTTGTGGACAGGTTCTCTAAATATGCACATTTTATTCCTCTTGCTCATCCATATAATGCGTCTTCTGTAGCAAGAATTTTCTTTGAGAATATTGTTCGTTTGCATGGTATCCCAGAATCAATTGTTAGTGATCGAGATCCCCTCTTCACTAGTACGTTCTGGAAAGAATCATTTCATTTATGTGGGACTAAATTAAAATTTTCATCTGCTTATCATCCACAATCGGACGGCCAAACTGAGGTTGTTAATCGCACAATCGAGATTTATTTGCGATGCTTGGTGGGTGATCATCCTACAAAATGGGTAGAATGGATTCCATGGGCTGAATTTTGCTATAACACTTCTTTCCATTCAGCACTTCACACATCTCCATTTCAAGTTGTTTATGGCCGCGAACCTCCCAGATTGCAATCCTACATGGCTGGTTCTTCTCGAGTTGATGTTGTTGACCGAGCATTAATAGACCGAGATGTTGTCTTACAGGATATTCGAGCCAAGCTCCAACAAGCGCAGCATAAGATTAAGACTGTTTATGATAAAGGACATCATGATGTGGAATTCTGTTTGGTTACGTTTACATCCATATCGCCAAAAAACTCGGGCTAGCCATGTCTATCATAAACTTGCACCAAAATTTTATGGCCCTTTTGCAGTTTTGAGGCGCATAGGATCTGTAGCTTATCAACTTGATCTACCTGCACGTTGCAAGCTTCATGATGTGTTTCATGTGTCACTTCTTAAGCCATTCAAGGGTGAGCTACCTGCAACTCTACCTACTCTTCCACCAATTGAAGCAGGACGCATTGTTCCTACCCCTTGCTCTGTGCTTCGCTCCCATCTGAATCGTGGTAATTGGGAACTTTTGGTTCAGTGGTGTGGTTTCTCTGTTGAGGATTCCACTTGGGAGATTGTAGATCATTTCGAATCTGCCTTTCCAGACTTCAAGCTTGAGGACAAGCTTTTTCTCCAGGAAGGGAGTAATGTTATGGATGCATTTGTTGGCAGACAATTTACTAGACGCAAGAATTAATAGGATAGATAATGATTGATATTTTCTGAATTATTTTGTCAGCTTTGAATAAAACTTCCCTTAGTGATTTAGAACTCTTGTTATCTCTTTTAGTTAGAACTCTTTTCTGAGTTAGGATTCTTGCTATTTCTTATTTGTTAGGACTCTTGCTTTGTAACCTCTATTTAAGAGAGTTGACGCTTATGAATAAAAGTAGGTTGAATTTCTTCAAGTCACAGAGATTTGGAACTTTTCTCAAACAAGTTCCCAGGTGTGCAATTCCCTGATTGAATTGCAAATCCGGCAATCATAGGCAAGTCTAGGAACAAGAACAAGGGCTTAGACCTTCGTGTTGGGCCTGACTTTCCTGTTAATCGTCCAGCGACTCGATCCAAAATTAGGGACCATAACAGAAACTGATGCACTTTCATTATGTCTAGTGACTACCATACAACTACAACAACTATGCCTCAACCCCAAGCTGGTTCATGTCAGCTTCATGAATACTCACCCTCCTTCCCAACTCCATTTGGATGCAAAATCCTCACTCTCTACTCTCTACTATAGGTAAAAAAAATACTAAGAGCTCATTTATGGTACCTGGAGTCCGCAGTTTCAATCGACAACACAGTGGGGTAATAATAGCCAATTAAGCTAAGTTGGAGTTGTCATCCAATTTAAGATGAAAAAACTTAACCGTGGGAGAAACAACACAGTAAGACAATTATTGTTACAAGTTCTTTTCTCCCCCGTGCTATAATTGGCAGCATCTCCAACAGTTTTATCAAAGGCACATTTTCGTGCAGCATAGCAGTGCTTCGGTGAAGGCACTAAGTTGATGACATGTGCATCTTACCCAAAACAACCAACCAACAGCTTTGTGCTCTCACTAAATCACGTGTTTTAATTGCATTTGCTCTCAAACACCTATAACTTCACTGACTTCAGCGCTTTTGGGGCTTTTTGGGTTGTACAGCACTGATCTACAAACACTTGATGTCTCTCATTTGCAAACATAAGCAGTTTCATCCTCACAGTACCCACGCCTATGTTACAAAATTCCCTGTTTCATAATATTTGGATTCAAGTGCAAGGGTCGGCATATTACATTCGTCTTTTTGATACATTCCCACCAAGATTACCACTCACCTTCAGAACCAAATTTCTGTAGCAACTTAAGTTAAATTAAATCAACTCAAGTGTGAGTGTGAGTGTCAAGCTACCTTCAATTTTGCAGTGCTTAGCCATGGTTCCTCCAAGTATCATTGCACTAATAATCTCCGCGGCAATACTTTCGAAAAGATCTGCACCTCGAGCAGCACAGTCACCAACATTGTCTCCTACCTTACAACCGGAAATTTATAAGGTTAGCATTAGACAAATCAATTTGAAACCAGAAAAACAACATTATAGGTAGCGACAATCTCCAGTTAATGAATTGACGGAGCAGATACCAATACTCCATAATTCCTTTTATATGTTTAATATTTCGCAATAGCAAACTTTTCTCTTTTTCGTATATTTCTTTTTATTTGGTGCTACCATAGCAAGCACAAAGCTAGGATGTGAAACAATTGATAATAGGGGCCTCAAAGAAGACAAAGACATTCTTCTTTAAACTCCAAGAAATTTCTCTAAGAGATAACTTTCATGTAGAAAAATGATAATCACTTGTTCTACTCAAGCACCAAGAGATGTTTGTATCTCACAGTTTAAGTGCTGTTTAAACTTAAACTTGGGATTCCACTGCATTAACTAGGTGCATGGTGCGTAAAGTAGAACTTAATGAGATCGTTCATACAACTTCCAGCTAGAATACATGACAGAAATGCCTAATGGTAATGCATGATAAACATAGAAGTTCATAGAAGAAAATGAAAAAAGACATTAAAAAGAGAGCAGATTAATACCAGATCTGCAATTACAGCAGGATTGCGTGGGTCATCTTCCGGTATACCCTGCTCTACTTTTCCGACAAGATCAGCTCCAACATCAGCAGCCTTTGTGAATATTCCACCACCCAACTGAGCAAAAAGGGCAACAAATGAAGCTCCAAAACCATACCCAACAAGTAGTAGAGGCACTGCATAAAGATGAGAAGTCATAATGTGAACTAGAAAACAGACATTCAAAGTCAAATGTACATCTTAGTGAAACAAAACAATGTGAAATGTTAGCAGATTTTACTCACAATCAGTTGACTTCATTGCGCCAGGTGAATCCACCCCCAACCACACATACAAAATTGCATAAAGAATAGCAACACCCATTACAGCCATTCCAACAACCACCAATGCTGAAAATCCACCAGCACGTACAGCTATCTACATCAGAAAGATCTGAAGTCAATTTCTACAACAGAGGATTATATTGAAAAGTGAAAAAAAGAACCTGTAGAGCCTCGCGAGCCGACCGTCTTGCTGCACTAGATACTCGGACATTAGCACGTACTGATACCCACATGCCAACATACCCAGCAACACCAGAACATAGAGCCCCGAAAAGAAAAGCAGCAACAGTAATATAAGCAGATGTTGCCCTACATCAGTGTGGGAAGTATCATAAAGTGAACTCAAACTTTTCCTGAAAGAAGAGAAATTATCCAACTCAAAATCTGCCATTACCTGCCTAAGCCAGACGATTCTTGCTGAGGAGTTGTATTACGGAATAAATATATGGCAAATATAACCAGTCCAAGCAATAATGCCATTTTGGAGATAGTCCCATACTGAGTCCTGAAGAAACCTTCAGCTCCATCACGTATTGCATCTGATATCTAGCAAGTTACATAATGAGCTTAAGACTTTAAGACTATACTTAACATATTGCAATGAAATAGGAGCAAAATCATGACTGTGAATCCAAGCTTCTGCATGTTGGGTGCTGATATCAATATCGTCAAGCTTTTACCAATTTATTTACGTTAAAGTTCCCATATCAATGGAATAAGAAAATTTTGCCTTCAAATCCACTTCTCTCGGAAAATCTTATGGCTATGAAGGATTCCAAGTTCAGGTGGTGTGTAATCTAGGAGCATGGAGAAGGGAAATGAAAATGGCGGGAATAGATCATTTCTTTGGTTGGCAGGTGAAGGTGACAGAAGCAAAAGCAGACTAGTCACCATACTGACCTCCATGGTATTCTGCAGTACTCTAGCACACAACTTTAACGCTTGAAACGACCACTCGTACATGATGATCATGGGCTAGCCCAAACAATGGAGCTCCTTAACCACGATTAAGGTTTTGGATACAAAACCATTCCTGGCTCCCTCATGGCATTCCCAACAACTCTATCCACCTCTATCTTCCACCCAAAAATTAACAAATGAATAAAATGAAAGATGAAAAAGGAAAAGAACTAAAGAATAACAAGAACTAGACTCATTTAGAGTACTGCATAAGTCTAGAGACCCATACCAAAAGAAAAATATGATCTAGAATGATATGAAAAAACATTGTCCAAACTTTCTGATCTACATATTAGAAGCAGAAAAAAACAAAACAGGAAAGTTTTGAAAGAGAACTTAGAAACTGATCAAGAAGATTGTACCTCGGACATCTCAGGAGGTCCCTCATCCTTTGCCAGCACCCACTTAGTAAGATAAATCGACACAAAAAAGCTGATGATACAAACTGAAAACACAAACACAATGATCGGCGAGGTACTTGCACCAATGTAAAAGATAGCTCCAAAACAAACAAGCAGGAGCACCAAAAGAACGCGAACATTTATCCTCATGAGAACACGAAAAATCTGCATGAAACAGCAATGACAATATTAAAGCAAATACTTAGAAAATAGAAGAGCAAGCTGTGAAAAGAGAAGGAAATTGAATTATGCTGTTATCCGCTGAAAGAAGCTTCTTATTCAACAATCTTATTTAAGCAAGAGTGAACAACTAGAACAGCTAAACTTAAACAAGCAAAAGTTATGAATAACTGGTTTCTACAGATAGAGGAGGCACTGCTGGTTAAAAGTTTCAAGTTTTTGTATACTTTTAGGATGCTGGTCCTCCTCATTTATTTTGCATTACAAAATTGTAACAAGCTCCCCTGACTGAAAGCTAGTATCATCTTTAATTTTCAAAATATTCATTCCGATGTGGCACAACTATTTGTGCTAGATTCAAAGATCAGAGAAGTTTACTATTAGACAAACAGGTCGAAAAGGGGCACATCATTTACGTTTATCTACTAATTTAGAAATGTAGATATGAGCAAATGAACGGTGAATAACACTTTAGGTAGAATGACTATAACCGTGATACAGATTGAGAACAGAGGTACTTATCATCTGCTTGTCAAAAAAGATCATTTAATTCTTCGGCAGACAACCTTTAATGAAACATAGTTCTCTTCAAGAGAGGCCAGGGTATATAGCATGTATATCATTGTGAGGCAAACGCCTACCGATAATTGATTCTTTTAAGGAAATATGTAATACAAGCTTTCAGTAAAGTAAAAAAACAAATAAAATGCATTTAAATAGCCAAAATGAAATGGCTCAACTGATTCTTCACCAAAAAGCATGAGAAGGTGAACATATCTAGTCAGAATCACCCGTAAGTTGGAGAACGAGAGGCTTAGATGCTAAATAAGGTGATTTGGAAGACAAACCTTCTTTAGTTTTTTGGTGAATATGAAAAGAAGAAAATATAGTTTATTTAAAGAGTTGATAAACCATCGGATTAAGTCGTGGTTTCTCTCTTATTTTATTTTATTTTTGGACTTTAGTGTAAAGAGAGTACCATTTTGTAGTTATAGTTGGTTAGAATTTTAGGGAGGCTATGGACCAATCGTACACATTATGCCACTAATGTAAATTAAAACACCGTCTTGGAGTGACATCAATAAGATATTGACCGCTAAAAAAGACATGAAAAGAATAAGAAAGAACTATTAAATCGTAAATAAATGATTACTATTTTTCAGAAAGCCTAGTTTAGCACTAAACTACAAGTTCATATTTAAGGTTAAGCCCTTCATATATTTCTATTTTCTAATAGCCTAAAATCAGCTTATTTTGAAAAGTGTTTTTCGAAAAAGTACTTTTGAGATAAGTAGTTTGTGTTTGGTTAATTTATCTGAAAAGTACGTTTGAGCAATAATTTGTGTTTGGCCAAGCTTTTCAAACAGTGCTTTTAAATATCAACTTACGAATAAAGACACGACGAGATTTACTTAATAGTTAATATTATATGAGTTCATAAATAATCTCAAAATTTTATTATTAAAGACAATAATTAACGTTTTCCATTTTATTTAAGTAAAATATGAAAATAAAATTGAAAAGCACTTTAATTCTTTTTAAGATAATTTAAATATATCAAAAATTATTCAATAAATATAAAAGCATTTACCCAAAAGTCACTATATATTAGAAAGCTATCCTAAAAATAAGAAAAAATACTTATACATTAATATCCTAAGTATTAGGTTTAAAATAAGTAACGTTATTTTGGTATATACTATATTTTGCTAAGGGTATTGTTGGTAAGAAGAAAAGTCAAAACTGCTTCGGCTTCTGGGGAGAAGCTACTTCTTTCTGCTTCTCAAAAACTGTTTCTACTTCTTTCCAAAAGCATTTTTTTCTCCCAAAAAGCTTCGCCAAACACCTCACGTTGAGGGAAAAAGTACTTCTTGGGGAAAAAAGCACTTTTGGCTCTTGAAGAAGCTTGGCCAAAAGGCTATAAGTGGGTAATGGTGCACACACTAATCTCTGCAAACTATCAGGTTAGGAAATAAGCCTCATATAATTTCCATTTTAAATTGCTATACCCTGCTCAGAGTGCTCTTATGAGTGAATTTGTGCTTCTAAAGAAGAGTAAAACTATCTGGAGCTTCAACTTCTATATAGTATCAATGAGACCTCAATGGTTAATCTCAAAACTCTATGCTTGTTTCGACTTTCAACCTTGTTAACTTAGTGAATCTGGAATGCCTTGAGCTCTTCTAATTCTAAGTGCATATTTTACTATTTTGAGGTCCACGTGAGCGGAAGTCAAGACCAAAAGCTTCAAATTTTAGAATGTAGCAACCTCTTAGATTTCTGAGTGCATGATTACTTTTTTATAGTGCAAGTGGGTGGAAAACAATACTAGAAACCTTAAGATCAATCTATGCCTACTGATTCTTTTTAGATTCAGAAATTTACTTTGAATTCTGATTACCTTCGGTCCACGGAGTTCAATGTTGGCAGGAGAAATATCTACCTGAACCCAACCTAAAGTGGGTTGCTAGATTTAGGAGGAGATGGGTAAACAGTCAATCAGTCAAGGGTGGAGTAGAAGGTGAGTTGGAGATGGTATCAAATAGAGAACTGACAGCACCTAGCCCGGTCTAATTATTAGGTAAAGAAACTATGCCACACATGCATGCAAGGGTGTGGCCTAATGGTCAATGAAGTGGGTGCAAAGACCCAGTTAAAATCCAAGCAAAGACAAAAAAAATACTTAGTGATTTATTCCGATCTACCTAAGCCTTGTTAGCTGGCCCGGACACTGCTGTCATAAAAAGATCTATCAACACACTCTACCTGTGTGCATATCTTTATTTTTAATAAGGATGTGCATGTCATTTTTTTGAAGTTCATAGTTAAAAATTACCTAGCAGAAGTTTTCAGAGAACTCTTAAAAAGTGGAAGAACCCATTTGACGCTATTGTGAGTCACAATATATTAGGAACACGGCACTAATTCGAGTTTCACTAGAAACAGATGATCGAGGTAGTTTTCTTTTTTATAAGTAACAGATAATCAAGGTCCTGATAAAAAAGTATCAGATGATAAAGTAGTTAAGAGAGACCAAGGGAATATTCAATAAAGTTGGAACTTAATTAATGTATACATTTTGTTCACTCGATTTCAAACATATATAGTCTTACTTTTACTCATGCATATGTATCCACTAATTTCTACTGATTCCTTTGAATTTAAACAGTAGCTCTTCTTTCTATAATTTTAGATGTATTTAAAATTATTAGGAAACATTGTTATATTTGTACAATTAGTTGGTTGGTGGAAGGCCTACAGAGGGTGGCTAGATTGCAGATGTCGCTAGATCACCCGCAACACAGCAGACTACCTTCTGTAACAGCATAGTGGTTACCGGTTTTCATGCAGAGTTTGTTTAACTATTGTACCACCTTTCCTGCAAAGATATGCTTCTTTCACCAGTAATGTTTTCTTCTCCTCGAAAAGTATATTTAGCAGGATTTAGAATATTAAAAAATGATAGAAGACTATATACTTAAAAAAAATTATAGAAGACTATAAAATATGACACATTTGGCAATTGATGATCCACATTAAAGAGCGAGAACATATGTAAAGGCAAAACTAAGGTGCTTAAAAGATTTAATAAAAATAAACAACAAAAATGAGCATGCCATTCTCTCCTAAAGGCTTGATCAAAGTAAATGTTCCTCCATGAATGAATCAAAAGGCATGATTTTAAGACAACCGAAAAGCATGTGCTCCCAAATAATGTAACTTACCCATGGTATATAAGCTTTACTCTTCATGCTAGGAAATGTCCTTGGCCTATCTTGGTAAGGGCCCAAGTTCCCTCCTTCCATGTCATCATCCATTGCAACGGTTTGGAAAGAATTTACCCTCCGTGCTACTGGGAAAGGGCTGAACTCACTGATTTGGGGCAAATCGCCCCCTGAACCTGGTCGCTGTATTTTGAATTTCTTTTGTTAATCAATTCCACTAATTCCTTAGCTCGTGTTCAGGCAGCTGTGATGTTTCCTTCTCAACTGTTAAATCATCTCAAAAAATTCTTCAGATCCTAGGGGAAAAAAAACAAAAACATTCTATCAGACATTACATATTCAAAAACCAATACAACAACAACAACCCAATAAAATCCCACAAGTGGGGTCTGGGGAAGTAGTGTGTACGCAGACCTTACCCCTACTCCGGGCGAGTAGAGAGGCTGTTTCCGGCTCAATATTCAAAAATCAATGAACTTGCAAAACAAATTCATTGGAAATTAATCACAGCTTTAGTATGAAACACAATTTCACGCTAAAAATACCAGTAGAGCAGTTACAACTTACAGCTTATTCACAAACCCAGAAATTGTAAAACAGATGGAATGTCCAAACACAATGCTAGTCTAACAGAAACAAGAATAATCAAACTACCATTATCAAACAAACGAGTTAAAAAGCAGTCAATTTGAACAGCAGAAGACACAATGAACGGAACGTATTAAAACCCTCGAAAAGGAACAATTTCAAACTATAAACCTACCAACGAAATCAACGAATTTGCAAAGAAACACATTTGAGGCTGTAATGCTGTAGCAATTAGATATTAAAAAATCGTGAAACACAAGCTCATCCTAAAATACCAGTGCAGCAGTTACAACTACTTTAAATCAAATCAAACTGATAATTAAAGTGTGAAAAAACAAATAGATCAATGAACGCAGAAATTCTTACGAGCACGCATACGCAGATCCGGATGCGAAACACTGACGAGGCGAAAACAAAACTCCTCGCCGGAAAAAGGATATATTCAACTCCGCGGTCTGATCGGCCTCGAAAACTTTCTAGAACCTTCAGATCTCAATTGAGAGACGCGAAGAGGAAGCTTAGAAGCGAATGTTGAAACGGAATTTGGGGCAGCGAAGCCGGCGAGAGAGTGAAACTGTGTAACTCTGAAAGTGTCTGTATTCTGTGTGTGTGTGTGTATTTTTTCTCTCTCAATGCGTTTCGATTAGGTGAAATAGCATATGTTGACTTATGTGCACAATCCAATTAGTGAATGCCACATGCGCAGTCCAACGTGTTTTTGCTGCCGTGTCCTGTTGTGGGCCTTCTACTCAACTGACGGAATTTTCGGATATGCTGCTACTTTCTGATAAATATAAGATTTTGCAGTTTTATTTTTGTTGCTTCTCTTGGTAAAACAGGTGCCCTAATTGGAAAACAAGTCTAACTAATCACTGAGATCTTTTTATTATCAAATTCCAAGTTTTTATTTTTCGGTTAATAGATTAGATAATTTACATCTGAATGCTTGTTTGTTGAAAGTTGAAACAGAAAGATCCAAATGCTTTGCTATGCTTAAAAACAAAGGAAATAAAAAGAAATGAAGGAAAAAGTAAAAGAAAAGGAACTAAAAATTGTTCGTTTTTCATTTGGAGAAAGCAAAAATAAAAATAAAAAAGGGTACCTTTTACATCAACTAGTTTATTTTTTCGTTATGTTAGTTCGAATAATATTCAAGACGTGTACTAACTTTAATATCGCATATAACAAAACTTTGAAAATTCGCTCCAAAAAACAAAATAGCCAAAGAAAAATTCAAGTAAGATATCTTAAGGAGCGTGGCGTCCAAATAAGAAATGCGAAAACGCTTTTCAAACATTTGCGATGACAAATGTAAGTTATTATATACACGAACTTGACTCTACAATTCCTATGAACACAAATATCTCCCTAAGCTAATACATAACTCATAAGATGGTTCGGTTTTGTTTAACTACAAAATTTTGCTTGTAATAACACATGCTTCATTCTTCGTTCTTAGATTATGTGGTTTGCCTACGCTATTGGATACGTGCACAAATTTAAGCCATTTTTGCAACCATCTCCAACATATGCATATTCAACATCTATAGTTGCCAAACCTTAGCATGATTGATGACCCAAAACAATTCATGCGCTAGTAGAATAATAATATGACTTAACAAAAAAAAGGATTTTGTGATAGACGATCTTGATGAACTAGTAAAGGTGACATATGGCATAGCTTGAAACAAACGTGACTTACATAACCTGTGTGCTAATTTATTCTTTCATAGGAAAAAAAAATATAAAGTTGCCATTACAATAATTGCGTCCACATAACCATTGTGCAAGCCGCATGCATTATGATTATTCACGTAATCACATTTAGTCGGTCATTTGGCACGGCCATTTGTATTTATACTCGCTTTTTGGGTCACGTTTTAACTTGTGTCTGCTTTGCAAAATAATTACAAGCGTACCCACTTTTTCGCGGTACTTCAGCATACGGGGCTGAAGTAGCAAAGACAATCACGCAAAACTTCAGCATTCTAGTAGCCGGGCCCGAAGTAGACCAAGTGTGCTGAAGTTTTTATTTGTAATTGTTGAACTTAAGCATTCTAGTGCTGAAGTTTTGTTCTCTATTTGATGAACTTGTTTTTGTTTGTAATTGTTGAACTTAAGCATTCTAGTGCTGAAGTTTTGTTCTCTATTTACTGAACTTAAGCATTCTAGTAGCTAAGTTTTGTGATACTGAAGTTATTTAGTTCATTTGTAAAGTTCTTTAGCACTAAAAACGCTGAAGTTTTTTTGGTCCTGGATAAGCTTTTTCAAAAACTTCAGCAGAAGATGCTGAAGTTATTTAGTTCATTTGTAAAAACTTTAGCACTATATAAGCTGAAGTTTTTAAAATAAAATTTGACTTGAAACTAAATGGCAGTAGAAGGGGAACATCAACTTCAGATTAACGGACATGCAAAGCAAGCTAAAAAATCAGCCAACTCCATACAATCCAAAGAGCTGAGCAAAAAGAAACGCAGGAAATTCTTAATTTTTGTTGCACTCTTTGCTCTGTTTCAAATTGCAATCACTCTCTTCCTTTCATTGTATATAATGAAAATCAGAACTCCCAAGTTTCACGTCCAGTCCGTACCTTTGATGTGTTGTCCAAAAATGCAGAAAACTCTTCATTCAACATTACAATGAATGCTGAATTTGGTGTCAAGAACACCAATTTTGGACCTTACAAGTACATAGACAGCACTGTTTATTTTTTCTATAATGGTGCGAGTATTGGAGAAGCCTTTGTTTCCCATGGCAAAGCTGGTTTTCTATAATGGTGCGAGTATTGGAGAAGGAAGAGGAGAAAGAGGGTTGAAATTGTTTAAAAAGTGGGTACAAATTAAAACTTTTAAAAAAAAATGGATATAGATTAAATGGGGGCGACCAAATAGAGCGCCCCGTGCAATTTTTACCATTTGACACTATCTAATGCTTCTTTTTAAATAATGTCAAGGTGATTAGTGTAATTAAGGTTGCACAATTATTATGTGACTAGCACAAATATTGTGTGATTATACGTAAAAATACAATTTTAAATCAAAATGTGAGTCATGCCAGATCTCGAACATAACACATCATTTTCATTTTCTTTTCATGTTTTTTGTGATTTCAATAAGAATTTTGGCTAAAATTTATCATTTCTATTTTTAGAAATTCAAAACTCACATTAGTTGACCTTTTTTCTAGTGAATCCTATAGCACATCAAGATAGTGCAAAAGGTATTTTGTTAGATTTTCGGTTCTTTTCATCAAAACTACTTACTTGTAAAATTCGAGTTTATTCATGAATCTGAGTTATATAAAAAGTTGCATTAAGCATTTGTAACCAAAGCTCACTGATCTGACTAATTAAGACTATGTCCTAGGGAGGTCCATTAAAAGGAACAAAGCGTTCCCTCCCAAAATATTGTTCATACCAAGATTTAAACCCGAGACATCTAAGTAGAGAACGAAAAATTTCTACCATCCCATCCTATTACATATCTCGAGGTGAGATGTAAATGATGTGATTAGATGACACACGATACTGAAAGTGTGAAAAGTACTAAAGCGTAATTATATTTGTAAATCCGACAACATAAAATGTGATAGGATGTTAAATTTTTTTAAAAAATAATTATTAAATGTATTGAATTAACTGAAATTATGTTGTGATGAATTTGATGAATTATATTATAAGTTACATAGTAACTGATTTAATGATTTGTTTTTAGAATGCTTTTAGGATATTAATTTACTTTGACTAAAAATTGATAAATTTATAATTGGAATTATATCAGTATATGTTATAGCTATACAATTATAATTGAACCGACTGTAAATAACATTTTACTTTAATTAGCTTGCTATATTAGAAGCCAAAGCTCAACAACAAAATTATCTGATCTTGATTCAACAATGAAGTATTAGGGTGAAAAGTTAAAAAATGTTTGAGTTTTCGGTAAAATAAAATTAAACCTTATAGTAGCAAGAAAAGTTTTCTAAAAGAATTTTCTTATGTGTTTGTGGTTGGATTTTGCATCTGTTTTAGAATCATTAGTTGCTTAGCTATATGAGAACTATAATATTTTTGATTAAATTATTAATTTCTTAGTTATAGTAAAAGTGCAGAACTTTACTAGTAGGATGAGTCTACTTCTTTATTTATAATTATGTGGCTATTTAAAACCCTATAATTAATGATTTTTTAGAAACATATTTCAATCATACTTTTAATCCTTTTGGTTGTAGATATATTTCGTAAAAATCCACAACAAGTGGTATCGAAGCCAGTGGTTCAGCAAAGTTGAAGACATGTTCAAGACGGGTTCAAATTAAGTTGCGACCAATTTGACGATAATTAAAATTTTATAAAAGCAAAATCTAGAGTACTACACGTAAAGATAATTTTTTAACCATACTTTCAACATTCCTATTGTTGTATTTTTTAAAAATAAAAAATATTTTTAATCGGCACTTACTTTAATGCATGAACTCTATTTTTAATTCTACTTACTTTTAATGCAAGACTTTAATATTTTTAAATCGTGCTTACTTTTAGAGTATATGATTCCAGTTTTTAACTCATAAATACTTTTAATTATGATAAAGAGCACTGCCGATGATTATGCAAAGAGGAAGGATCAAATTTATTTTGTCAAAAAATTCATATCAAAGGAAAAATTATAAGGGTTCGCCCTTTTTTTTTTTTTTACCGTGTGTGTATTTTTCTCTTACTTGAAGAAGTGGTAGAATATTTTCCATAAGTGCTTTTATTGTTTCATAAAGGAAAATATAAATCTTTTCATAATTCATAATTGATAGATCACTTTCTTATAGAAAAATGTTGTAGACCTAAAATTAGGATTCTCCTTCACAGAAAGATAATTATAGCATCCACAACATAGTACTCACAAGAGTCTCGGAGATTTTGATCTTTCCATAAGTTTTTTTCCTTTTATATTAGTAGACTTTTTATGAATGTAGGTCAATTGATCAAACCATGTTTATAATATTCTCTTTTAGTATATTCCTATTTTGTCGTTTGATTTCTCGTCACCAAAATTAACTTTGTTAGCTTTTGCATAACACTTTATTATTTCGATCCCAATCATGAATTTTTTAAAATATGCAAGTAGCAAAAAGGTTGAAATTAGGATTAAAATTTTGTCTATGAAATTTGAATAATCATGGAGTTTAAATAGCCACATAAACGAAATAGACTAATTTTCCTACGACCAAAATACTAGGGTCTTATTACATTTCAAGAGTCTAAGATTTGATTTACTATAATATTTAGTTTTTTAGTTAAAATAAAACTATAACACTTTAATTGTAGGAGGAGTCTACGACTTTATTTATGTGAATATTTAAAGCCCTATGGTTAATTTATCTATCTATATATCTATCTATCTATCTATATCTATATCTATACTATATTAAAAGCACGAAGGCTCTTACCAAAGGTCGTTCGCTGTTTTTACCCTTCAAAATTAAAGTTTCACTAAACAAAATAGTTATTTAATTATTTTTTTATTTTTATAAATATTCATTTAATTAATTCCCTACTATTTAGGAATAGTTATTTAATTAACTTCCTAATATCTAAGACTTTAAAATCAACTAGAACTTGACTTATTAGTAAATT